ATCATCTGGGGCTAAAAAAGTATTCCAGAATGTATTCACTAAACATCTGGAGGATTTAGTTATTCCGGGGATGGTTAGGTGGTATAGGGATATGTGGCGCAGAGGTGTTAGGTTTCATTATGTCGTACGTCGTCTTTATCTTAATATCCTTAACCGAACTCAAATATTAATATTTTCCTAGTCGAATTCACCATTTGAATTATTACCCGTTTTAAACGAGTTTTTCCAGGTTTCTACTCTTCCAGAAGGTATATATTATTCACCATCCTTTAGTTTAAATGATATTCAAAATACTTCCCAGGATCCATCCGTCTCAAATCCTACTCCGCCCGCGCCCTCCTCCCCGCACTTCTTTCTCCCCCAGCAGCACGCAAGCGCGAAGGCGTCGTAGAAGTCCTCAACGCCTTCCCCGACTCGTATTTCATCCTCGTCGGCGATTCAGGCGAACAAGACATGGAACTATACGTCGAGCTTGCAAAAGACCGGCCTCATCAAATTATCGGTGTCTTCATCCGAGACGTCACGACCGACCCGACGAGGGATGAGCCACTAATGAATATCGCTGGCGATTTGGCGTATGGATCCGCGGGGGGACCACTGATGTATAATTTGAATCAAAGTAAGGCAGGTCCGTCGAATGCCTCTTTTACAGGAAGATATGTAGATAGAGAGCCAGAACCTATGCTGTCGATGCCGTCCATGGAATCATTGAACAGCACGGGTTCGTCGAATGCCAGTGCATGGTCAGTCCAGACTCCAGCATCAGGCTCGTCACTTAGGTCTGCTCTTCCCCGTGTTATACCTAGGCGAAAAACCTCGGGAGGACTCACGCCGGAGGAGAAGAAGAGAATTGATTTGATCACGAGGATTGAGAGGGCTAAGGCGGAGATACCAAGTCATATCGCTTTTAGGGTGTTCAGAGAGCCGGAGGAATGTGTAGAGATGCAGAGTATTTTGGATAAGTTATTCCCGAGTAAGCGGTGAATTTAAAGGACGTGGATTGGATAGTTACATTGTATCATAGACACATGTATTTTCAGATTTTGAATAATTCAATGAATTTTGTAATGTAAGTGTATCCGGTGTAATAACTTGCAAGTAATCAGACAGACTCAGGCACTACCTCGTGGTTTCAACGTTCCATAATATTCAATTAGTACATACACGGGACAGGCAAACAAGTGATTAAGAATGCGGAAAGGAACTACATGAAGTGAATGATGAGATGCGATTGATTGAGAAAAGTCCATAGGAATAACGCGTATTTTATCAAGCATACGATGCGAAGAAAAAAGAAAAGATACAAACCCATAAATAACTCGGATACAAAAAAATCTAAGATGGAAGGATTGAAGGCAGGGATTGATCATCTGCCTAGATACATAGTAATCTAATGATGGTAGCGATAGATCATCTGCCTACACTGCTGGCACTGCCAACTGAAACAGCATACTCCTGCCTAAGAGGGTCCCACCCGTCAGCCCAGCTCCGGACACGACCGCTCCTACGCGCTCCGGGGATAGGTACAGGAAACCTGGATGCAGGTGGCACGGGAGGCGAGCGAGTGCTAAACGAGATATTATTAGCCAACCTGAAACGGAAATGAATTAATGGAATAAGACATACTTTGCTCGAAGAGTCGGACTCAAGGTCACGTTGCGGAAATTTGAAGGGAAGAGCGGATGTCCAGGTCCACGTTCGCTCAAAGCGTCGTAATGGTCATGTAACTGCGAGAAGGAGGTACCACGTGAGTTGCTAGGCGCAGAGAAGCGCCGCGTAGGCGGAGGGGAAGGAGCGTTGACGATTTTCAGACCAATAGGGGACTTTGGCGGTGCGTTCATGGGGTCGGGTTCATCCTCGCGGATGAGCTCTAAACTATGACGGTCGCTGGGCGATGGGAGACCGGACATTGCGATCCCGGGAGAGAATGGGGAGATTGCGCGGGAAGGAAGGGGACTGGGAACAATGGGTTCGATCCAAATGTCGTCATCGTATTCTTCGAGGTCGACCGCTTCAGCATCTTCACCTTCTGGCATGCTTGGGCCGATGATGTCGACACCGGAATCCTCGAGCTCGGGAGGGACGCCCAATGCCGCTTTGATGCGCTCCCATATGAGTTCTGACTTGTTCGCGATACAGAGGTGTGCCTTGCGGACCCATTCGGCGTCGTTGGCTTCTTCGCGGGAGGTTTTAATCAACCATTCTTCGAGTTGAGCGTATGTCCATGTCTTGGGATCCTCTGTGCCGGGCTGTGCGTCCTTGGGGAAGGTCTGGGCGAGGAGCAAGAATAGCTTGCGAGCACGGGAAGATGGTGAGGAAATAAGCTCTTGAACCTCGGAGGCGCGGTCGATGAAGGGCAAATAATGCTCATCAGGAATGGGGGTGAAATGGACTGGGGACGGTGCGCGCGGGCCGCCAGGGGATTTGGGGCTGTCGCAGGGATGATTGCACTGCTGAGCGAGCTCGAGGACTTGTGCGGGAGTCAAGGAAGCCCTGGCGGTGTAGGTATTGCTGCGACGAGGGCCATGGCCTGAGTCTGAGTGGGGAGATGGGGGGCGAACTCCACTAGCGAAGGATATACGACTGCTAGCAGACTGTGTCCTGGGGTTACCAAGACCGTGCGCTGATTTGCGTTTGTAGGATTTCTCCTCGACGTCGTCTGGAGCTGGGGAGGGGGCTTTGATGATGTGGAGAACGCTGGCGACACCGCGGGTTGTCTCCTCGAACGTGCCCCACGGGTCAGGCGCACTGACGGAGCCTCGGCGACGCAAGGATAACCGACGACGGTCTGTCGTGGGCGAGGAAGGCATGGAGGCAGAAGAAATGCGTCCTGAAGACATGGCGGAACGAGAAAGAGGATAGAGGAATGGGGGTCTGACCCGCTGGAGCTTTATGGAAAATCGCTTACCATAGAGCCACTGGGGGCTAGAATATTACCTAATAAAACGAATATTTCTTAGCCCCTTTAGAGGCAAGCAGCCAGATCCACACCGAAATTCTAATCGATATATCTGACGGGCATTATTCGCCCGGACAACAACTCGAGATGTGATCCTCGAGAAGCACACTACCAGTGGGTCGCCCAATTAAAGCACGAGGGTTGGACCGGAGCTCGAATATCGTCCGACTTGGGAAAGATGACCTAATCAGACATTTGCCTCCGCGCATTCGGCCAGCTCACCAATTCTTCTACGACCATGGCTGAAGAGCACAATCATAGTCATTCCGGTCCCAATGCTCACAGTCATGGCCCCCAACCCCAGCAGGTCCCCGTCCCACCCGGTCCCGACCCCCTCGTTCAGGCTGCACTGGATGCACGAATCCAACCCGTGTCACTCAAGCTCGAGTCGCCAGCGGAGAACAAGAACTTACTACTAGTTGTCGCAGGAGACCCGAATGCGCACAACGACTTTAACCTATTGAATAGCCTTGCGTATCAGCTCAATACGATGCTGCCTCCACCGCATGAAAGCATTCCACCTCCAATTAACCCTGCGACTGTAATGCAGAATCCCCGTTCGGTCGCCGTAGCAAAAGCAAAGGATGAGGGAAACGTGAGTATTGGATGCATGTGCTATTCTAGATTACTGATTCAAATTTGGTCATTCCAGAAACTATACTCCCAGCAGAAATACTCCGAGGCAATCGTCATGTACACCACCGCTGCACAGATCACAATAACGCGTCCAGACTGGGAAGCCTCTAATTTGATCAAAGAAGAACTTGCCATGGTCCTTTCGAATCGTTCTGCCGCATTTGCCATCCTTGGAGATTTCGTTTCCGCTCTCGTGGACGCCGATGTCGTCATTCAAATAAAACGCAACTGGAGCAAAGGACACTTCCGGAAAGCGAAAGCGTTGCAGGGTTTGAAGGATTTTGAAGAGGCTAAATTGGCTGTAGGCTTGGGGTTGTCGTTTGAGCCAAATAATGCTGTTAGTATTCACGTTTTGAGACATGCGCTGGCACTGACGTGTCCTTAGGAGATGCTTACATTCGTCTCGGAGCTTGACCAACAAATACAAGCCGAGAAAGAGAAGCAAAACGAAAAGCTATCAGAAAAGGCATGATCTTGATGTAAGATTATTCGTAGTTGTATTGGCACGTATCTGTATATTTTTATTTTATTAATGGGCTCAATTTTATTCCTGTGAGACATTGAAAGTATAAGTAATGTGGGTGTTGGACGTTGCTTCAATATTAGGTGTTAAATTACCACGTAAATGGAGGGGTTTAATCGAGCATGTGCCAGTCCAGGTCCAAGTCGACCGTTTTCATTCATACCGAGGCGAAGTGCACAGGCTTTCTCCACATTTTCCCAGCCTGATTTGTCTTCAGTAGGAACTTCGCTGCCATTCATAATATATTCAGAACCAAACTTCATTGAGAGGGGAATTCTCCGCTGCAGTGAAAGACTCCCAATCCATAATTCAGTCATTATCGCCTTAAACCCCGTCATGACGGCGGAATTCACTGTAACAACGGTCGATTTGAGACAATCGACACGATGCGGTGATCAAGAAAAAAGCATTGCTGTTAGGGATTCCAAGGGTCTTCGCGAGGTGTTTACCAGACTGAAAATCGAGACACTTTCAACATCTCCTTGTCGACGTCGGGTAAGTCGTTCAGTTGGTCGGTTAGTATCAAATAACTAACGTAAAGGCTATCGTTCGGCCTTATAGTTTTAATTTATCTTAGCGATACTGCAAATGTGTCCACATAAATTTAAATTGGAACAATAGTGCTGTCCTAGCCAGTCACCGCCAGTGGTCCTGCAAGATGTTATGTATGTGGGTTTATTCTCTTAGCCATGTTGAATTGAACAAATTGAAGGTGGTTCTGGACCTCTTATCGCACAACCTTTTTAAACGTTTGCCTTCGGAGACCTATCGAAGTGGGAAAATCGCGCATAAAAGGATAATATCACCCCTGTACTACTTTCTTCTATCTTTAATTGCTCATCGCTCAGTAAGCCTTTCAAGATCAATAAAAATAAAAATAATCTCTCAAGCGGGGAATTGAACCCCGGTCTCGCGCGTACTACGGTCGAACCTTTGACAGGCGCAAATACTAAATACTATACTACCTAAGATGACGTATTGAAGCCTTGATAGGACTAGGGCCGGGCATGGTGAGAGGACCGTTCACAAGGAGAGCCTAAGAACAGCCTAGGGACCGATCCTACCTGGAAATCCTCTATTATGGAACCATACAAGTTTATGGTGTTGGAACGGTGTAAGTACTTCAAGGGCAGCAGTGGCCGATCTGTAAAATGTCGTGATTGGATAACCTGGTACCTAGGACTCTGTCAAGAGAGCATACGAGCATTTACTGTATTTTAAGCCCCTAAAGACAACCGTATCTAGTGCATGTCAATGTAGCGGTGCATCCGCCAGGGTGAGGCACCCGTCGTTAGTTTTTATTGGCGCGATAGCTCAGCTGGGAGAGCGACAGACTGAAGATCTGCAGGTCCCCGGTTCAATCCCGGGTCGTGCCATAATATGCTTTTGTTTTGTTGAGTTAAGATCGGTTCCCAAATATCAGGGAGCCTGAAACGATGTTTAGTCAGATACGTGGCACCGAAGTTTGCATTGGCTAGCACTAGCATATTCGCGGTAATTTTATCTAGACTCGACTTGTTTTTAATCTCTCAATACTCTATGGCATATTAATAGAGATCATTACAGAAATATCTCACCGTGAGGCTCCCAGATCTAGGATAGCTCGGAGTTATCATCGCTGGGCCCGGCAGTCGCGGAATGAAATAGCAAAACGGTTATACTTTCATAGCCCACCGGCTCAAATCGTCAAGCGCAGGTACCTATGCTCCATTATTTTCTTTTAGGAAAATAAGTTTAATCAGATTCTGAGAACCAAGGCAGTAATTAACACTGCAGACACATACATTTTCTAGCCTAGAAAATGCCGTAGAAATGCTTAGATTAGGCAGTATTTTCTCAGCATTTTTTAGCCGTGAACAAGTTCTAGAATATTGTGACTTAGCTAGAACTTTTTCGACACTAGACAAAGGAGTATAAAAGGGCAGGACAAACAAGTAGATAAGGGGTTAGAAAATGTATACTTTTCTCGGCATTTTTCCGGTATATAATTAGCCAACACTTTCTAGGTTTGTTCAGGGCTAGATAATAAACTAGATTACATACTAGAAAAGTGGCTGAACAAGGCCTTGTCTACCGGTTAACAAAGCTTAGAAGTCGAAGTTAAGTCAAGCAAGGTACGTTTGGGGTAAGAGAACATCTTGGACACTACTTGATGGCGGCAGGCCCCACTCGGCGACAGAGATCCAAGCTCGGTGGCAACTTCAATATGTAGCACATACTGTAGGAGAATAATTCTGTATTTTTTCCTAATCCCCTTGCAGGAGCTGAAGAATTTGTGCTATCGATGTGCAAAGTTCGTGAAACGGTTCTCTGTATCGTTCCAATTTTTTTAGATGTCAAGCATCTAGTGCCCGAGGCTGGTACATGGGAATATAACGAAATATGATTCATCGCATCGGATTTGCCTTTCAATTAACCAGTATAAACGTCATAAGTAGAAATATTGTGTCCGCTTGAAGCGTATATAGAAGTAACCAGGAGTCAGACCTCTAATAATTAGTACTAAACCTGAGGTCGGATGGCAGCAGGCGTCGATTCCCTTACGTCAGTAAAATAAATAAAAAATTGTGGGTTGTTGTAATGCCTTGCAGCGCAATGTGAGGGTTTGCATTGCGCTTTATTTATTTTACTGATGTATCAGTTGAGGAGACTTCGATTCAGCGCATCACGATAACCACACAACTACTATCCTTCTGGATCTATGCCATTATGGAAATGAAAAAATCAGGAAAGAGATGGTACATGTGAGTACTATATTGATTGATGTGCGTACGACTGGCAAACAGTGCATCAATCTACGTATACAGAATTTGGTGGTTCCACTGAGAGTACGATTACATAGTGTTCTCAAGTGTCAACATTCATGATTGATGCATCAGCTTAAACTTCCAGAGATCGTCGAACCCTGACGTATAACAGCCTGAGACAGTATGAGCACTGCGTATATGCTGCTCGGTGACGAGGTGAGATACTTTGGGAACTCCGGAACTTCGACTTTCAGCAAGTCTGCGAGGATCAGCTGCATACACATCTTAGTTTGGAAGATCATTAAGAGGGTTGGTTGATTTTGTAAGTTCTGCCTTGTCAACCTTGACTCCTCGTGATCTGAAGAACATAGGATTCTAACACGACGTGAAGTTTCGCTGCTCATTGGTAAATTAAACGGCTTTTATCCGACCACTGAGACGTTTCATAGACCTTATAGTTGCAGAGATACTTGTCATGATGGAGTGAAGTTGCCCAAGTGCTAAGTTAGAGGCAATTCTGCTCTTCGCAATAGATTCAGTCGGTCATCTTCACTCCTTAACAACAAGTATCTCTGCAACTATAAGGTCTATGAACCTTCTCAGAAGTCAGAGAAAAGCCTTTCAGTTTACCAATGAGCAGCGAAACTTCACGTCGTGTTAGAATCCTGTTTTCTTCAGATGACGACTCGGAGGGCTATATATATATGCGCCTTCTCGGGGCGAAACTAGAGTTGGCCATTATTAGAAGTTATTAATAGATTCTAAAGAAAGTTTTGTTCGCTTGTAGATTATCCATACCTGGCGAAGAAGATTAGACTCTTTGAGTTCGATCCCGGAGGCTGAGGTGATCCCTCGTCCTTCAGTTAGGGAGAGTTCTTGAAGAGAATGGGTTGCCTATTTTCACAATTAAATGATTTTAATTTGATTTCATTGAGTTTTAAGGGAATCAAACAGCTTTCTTTCTGTCTAGGTCTTTCCAAGCGACGAGGACGAGGACTATCGCTTAAGCGCCTGTCCCTCCTACCTTCGACCGGCCAAAAGCACCATTTCCCCTCGAATTCCGATACTTCTCTAGAATTAAAAGATATGAAAGCAAATGCTATCATTTAATCAATATTAAACGAAAATTCCGAGCTCTACAGGCTTCCCAGCCGGAAACAGCGCTACATGAACCTAGCGCCCGCCTACAGCCTGCCACATCAAAGTCCAACGGTCAACGTTCGACTCAGAACTTTCCTACTATGTTGTGTCCCCTTCGGGGTGACATACGAAAAAATTGGAACGATACAGAGAAGATTAGCATGGCCCCTGCACAAGGATGACACGCTTCTCCAGAGTGGACGACCTTCGGGTCGCAATATTTATTTTATTCGGTTTCTTCGCGTTTAACGCTTTGCGTGGGACGCAGTTCTTCTGTTCAGCGACTTCAAATTCTTTTGATTAACGAACTAAAATGAAGCTAAGAAAATATTATTGCGACCCGAAGGTCGTCCGCTCTGGAGCAGCGTGTCATCCATAGTGTAGAAGACCGAGTTACCAACGCACTAAGCCTCCAAACCTTAATCTTACAAGCTTGATAAGAGTTTTATGCTCGAATTAATCCACGATAAAGTCATAAATAAACAGAATTTTTCTATAAAAGATTATTTCTGATTTCTCCTTTCCCTCTCCTTCTACAGACCTCGCCCCATCAGTCTTCAACCCGTGCCAGTGTCCGCAGGGCTCATTGCACATATGCCCTATAAAGACTTCGGAGCTAGTAATTATCCCCCAAATTAAGTATAAAAATCATATTTTTCTCCTTAACATCTGAAATGGCTGAGAACTTGTTACCGACAGACCATGATGCATCACCGCCGGGGAGGACGGCCGTGAGAGGCTGAAATACTTTACTGGCATGCGGCGCAACAAAATGCGTCTTCTCTGTTTATGTCAATAACAAGTTCACTGTTTGAAAATACTTAATTTTGAGGGGAATTTACGAATCGAAATAAGCGAAAAGTATTATAGGCGTGACCGTGACTATGACTCCAGTCACAGCCTTTCTTCATCGCTCCAATTTTTTCGGATGTCAGGCACTTGTAGTATAGGAATCGCTGAATCTATCACAGTGACAGCCCTTTTTCTTTCTTCTAGAATAAAAACTTTGCGAAAAAATCACGGGTGAGTATTATCCATCCCATCATTCAGAATCATTCAGTGACATTATTACCGTTGATGTAACTGATTGCAGGTCAGGGTTCCACCAAGAGCGACGTTAGTCTGCGATTTGTGTACCGGGGACCCTAGGCGACCGCACGAGGTGGTTTCCTGATGTCCAAACACTCACCCCAACTTCCTTTTTGTTTTATTTTATCAGAGCTATGATCATCCTCGAATAAATTCGACGGTCGTGTGCATTTCGACTTTGTCCTCAAACATCTACAAAGGAAGCATGTTTATAACCGAGTTGAGCAACTTGGAATGATACAGGAGTATATGGAACAATTCAATTCCACGGAATACAAGGATCACGAGGTATAAGTGGGGTCGCTCTCTTATAGTGTGCGAGAGGCAGCTCGATACATATGGTAATATTATCATATAACGCAGGTAGCCGGTATGGGAACGGAAGCCGGTTCAAGGCTAGTTCAAGTTCCCACCCCTTCCCCCTCCGCTATACCACATGCCGAAGTCACTATAGTAAACAACCCTTCATGACGTCTCCAAATATCTCCGAAACTGAGTGCATTTTACTTTTATCAAGCCAGCTAAGCACTTACAACTGATGAAGGTCTTATAAAATATGACTGAAGGCGTGCCAAAGTTCCCTTGGGACCCAGCCGGTTAACTCCCTCCCTCCCTCCCCTTGGAAATCAACTTCAAATTCACTCTGTCCGGACACAAGATAACTTCTAGAGCGTCACGTGGCGTAAGCTAATCTATGGCAAGGTCCCTAACACATGGTAATTATCGTGATCATGATGCCTTCTCAACCACTTTCGGCTGAGTGGCAATAACCAACAATTGAGGTCTTTGTTAAATCTCGAGCTCAAAAGTTGAGCCAATAGGTGTACTGTTTGAGCTTTATAGATTCAATTCACAATCTTGTGTCGCCGACCCAGGGAGCGGGACATGGCCCCTGCACAAGGATGACACGCTTCTCCAGAGTGGACGACCTTCGGGTCGCAATATTTATTTGTTTGATTTCCTTCGCTTCATCCTTTTATTCCAAAAACCCCAAGATTCACTCTGTATTTTATTTCTAAACATATTGCAGGGAAACAAATACATTTAAGTAAAATTCTGAACAGATGGCGAGACTATTTCAGAAGAAGCGTGTCATCTCCAGAAACTTTTCAGACTCAGAGGAACTCAAACTTCCAAAATAAAAATAGAAATAGGAATCTCAACAAATCAATTGAGAATTTATAAAAAATAAAGGACCCCTACTGCATCCGTCCCCCCCTTCTCCTTCCTCTCTCACACACACAGCTCGAGTTGATATCTTACTCACTAGTATACGAGATAGGCAGTGAGGCAGGCATTAAATTGATCGATAAATCCAGCTTGTATGACAAATATTAAATTATGTAATTCCTGTTAAGACTCAGAGCAGAATATTTCTCGAGGATGGCCGCACGGAGAAATGAATCACCCACTATCACTCGCTTCATCGTTAGTGGTATAACGTTCGCTTTGCATCGTTCTGCTTGCGAAAGTTCAGGCGTTCGATCCGCTGCTTGTTCAGTATGTATTTATTTTTAACGCAATCATTGACCTGGGGTGCTCAGTGCTGTCAACTGATGGTCATAACCCGACCAAAAGGCCTGTTCGCGGCGCGTCAAGCAGCAGGATTGTTTCAAAGCCTACAGCATGCACATAGATATAGAAAAATTCCTTTATTTCGTTGCAAATTACTCGGAAATATTTACTCTGTTGATGAACATAGCCTCTCAAGTTGGTGTTAGGAGCGAGAAATCCTTGGACATAGGTTCCGGGTTCTGGCCGGTAGAACTATATATATTGAGGGAATAAGATAGTAAATAATCACGCATAGGAGAAAACAAAAAGCGAATCATGGACAGGCAGCGAATTAAATGCTGGACATTTCGCAAGCAGGAAGTGCTAAGTGAATGTTATACCACTAAACCCCATGCCCTTGACAATAGATAGGATATCCAACTACACTGATGGATGTATATTGATTGAGGCTACTAATAAATTATTTAGATCACTGTATACTTGGTGCTTTATCTCACTGAATCATAATTAGTTACAAGAGTTACCGACGGAAGGACTCCGACTTTGAAACCTGCGAGAAGTAGACACTTTAACTCTGACTGAATAACCGAATATGACTGTGTAAGAATAATCGGCCATTAATGATCTTATTCTATAGAAATGTGTACTTACTTTTTAAGAGAGCCTTTGAATTGAAATCAGCGAGGTTCAGGTTAGACTTGGAATCGGTGTGACTCCGTGATGTGACTCTGGTCTTTTTTTCCCGTATTTTTTCAGACGTCAAGCACTTGCATTCTGACGAAATTGAAGGGTACTTCAAATGAATACTCGTTTGAGATTCAAGACTCTATAATGGATTGTGATGTAATAGGAAAAGGATCCGAAACGTTCCTTTTTTGAACTGAACGTTGATTGTTCTCATACTTACACAATTTTAGGCAATTCCATATCTTATGACATAGAAGGAACAGTACATCACATCCATATGTATGAATGCATGACTTGGACGCCATGGTACTGGTTTGGGGATTTGTGGCGATAATATTTATAGATCAGGACGAATGGCATCAACCCCTTACTCTGCAGGATCTGTATATTTAGTGCAAGAATTGAGTACTGTGTATTGATCTTTCTGCCTCGAACAGTGCTTACTAGGTCTCATGTAGGCGTCGAGTTATTCTGGCAAAGGTTCCCCATACTGGAAAAATATCCATATCCTCTATGATCCCCTAGATTCTCCAATCACATATAGCGACGATACAGGTATCCACAACGATCAGCAAAAACGTGGCAATCCTGTTATTCCAATGTATCGCGTTCTCAATAGTCATTCGGAGAGCTCTGAAATAATATGTCGCCCCAATGGAGCTCAGGCTCTGAGTCTTCAGGTGTGGCAGTACCCAGATATCTCTCCGGGAAAGCATTGAAATGACTGGGAGAACACGTTATAGATGCACTCAAAAGGATTATCTTCATGAAAACTTGCTTTCAACATGTTGCCATGTTAAGCAAATGGCAGAAGAAATATTCTAATGGATTAACCATCGAATGGAACTCTGTAAACATACCACAGGTTCATGAAATATTAACCGACCTACTTGGTTTGTCATGGTCAGTCCTATCCAGTTCCTTTAACTGTCCATAACTTACATTCTCCTTTCTACAGAGATTATAGTATAGATCTACAACGTCAAGTTTTTGAGATCTGCGATGCGTTTAGAAGATTTCTGGATACCGCGATCAAACTTAACAGAATACGCACCAGTTTCCTAGCATCTGTCTCCCTTCCACTTATGGCCGTGTACGTCGTCGTTGGTCATTCAATAAGCTATCACCACTGGTATAATACATATTTCATTCTGGAGAAGCGAGTCATTCCTTGTGCAGGGGCCGAGTCTGTGTTACAACGATAAAAATCACCTCGACTGGAACCCAATTTAGTCGTTTCTGAACAAACCATCAACGTCTAAGGCTCAGAATACTTCAAACTTGAAGGGCATATGGGACGCTATTGCATATATCGGCCAGTGGCGGCGGATATCTTTTGTGCACGGCGTACTGTGCACAGTACTAATATCTTTCGTTCAGGGAGCAAAACAAATCAGAGATAACCTCAAAAATAACATAAAAACACCCTCTGGTAGGGAATTGAACCCTAGTCTTGCACGTACTGGAGTTGAACTCCCAACATGCGCGAACACTGACCATTATAGTACCTAAGATTGTTATCCGTTTCGTCTCTAGTCCATCCCAGGCCGACCACCGGATGATTATTTCCATTACACTCGACACAAAACTGTTAGTAATATTGTTATATCATATTGTGCGCTCCAGAAATCTGCCGGTGGCACTCTTATGTGAGTTGGAGACAACGGCCCTTGGTATGGCCAGTGATGGCCGGTGCCCGAGCGCCTGACCCGTGATGATTGTCGGTGACTCGGAGATTGAACTTGTATCGGATATCATTTCAACCTTGCCTTTACATCTGTTTGTCCCTTTACTCTATTAGACTCCCGGATTTCTACCAATGGCGGTATACTATCTTTCCAGAAAATATTAAGCCTATTTTTTTGGCCTATCGTACTTACCAGGTCGCTTATTTATGGGCCAGTGGCTTGAACGGTCCCTCGCGAATCTTCCTGATACAGTTGTCGCTGGCGAATTTACCCCAACGATACGGTCTAAGGCATACTATAGAAGTGTGTAACTCACGTTGGAAGATCCAAGTTCTTGCATTATAACCAACATCCCCGAGGCAGGTGGATCATATGCCCACTGCCCAACATGTGTGGTCTGTTGGTCTAGAGGTATGATTCCTTCTTAGGGTGTTTGTTCGCCATCTGGAGGAGGTCCCGGGTTCAATTCCCGGATAGACCCATTTTTAAATACTTTTCTTCCCTAACATCACAGATTCGCGTACTACGTCGTGTCTGCTTCAGCTTCTAGTACACGCCTCTCTAGGCTATAACTGGTCTTGTAAGTGAACCTGTCAAAACTTCTCTTTTCCGCTTGTGCGACTGACTTGCGAGCTTATAAAATTAGGCTTTTTCGATAAACTGTAAGGGGATCTCTTGCAATTGGCGTTTTTAGCATTTCTCATCTACAGGTCTAAATGTAAAAGCGGGTTCCACTGTATCGATGTGCTTTACCGAATTTATCTCTCAAGTTAAACGCAGTGACGAATTTAACAAAGTTGGTAAATAAAGCTGACTTTTGAAAGCTATTTATGCTGATATGAGAGCGCACGAAATCTAGCGGTGCCTCATGTCTGGAGACAACATGTATGCGCACTTTACTACTTTTTGTGCGGGTAATTTCTGAAGGTATAAAGTATGTCCTCCACTTTGTTTCGCAATAATTATGTAAAAACTGAAATAATTCAGCAGGAGACTTGATAATAAATTATTAAGTTTAACAAGATTCTTGCTGCTCTTTAAGACGGCTTACGCGAACCTAAGGGTAGTAGCAGTACCGTCTGCTTACAGCCGCTTACGAGTGCCCCTCCAGGCCAGTAAATGTATTACAAATCGTTACAAGTCAACGGAAGCTTCCAGGGTACAAAGGGCGCCGCGTTCGCATTTTGAAGTCTCACACGGGCTTCCTTCTTACCATCATATCCCTCTCCCTCTCCCCGCCTTCCAACTGTGGGTCACACTCCGCATGTGCCAAGCTAGTCCTCCACTCCTTTGGTCTTCGTGCACATCTCCCAGCGTCTTCTCAGTTCGATCCTGAGTTGAATGCGAGGGCTGTCTGAAAGATATCGAAGGGGTGGGTTGTTCAGAGGATGCGCATTGTGCACCCTGTTTACAGCCCATCGCACCAGGGAGTCGGTTTTTATAACACGTCGGTATTTCCAGTAGTTGGAGTGCGAGGAAATGGACAGGATGAGATATAAATTTTTCCACTTGCCACTTGATGGCAATCAATTCTGACATTTATTTTGCAGCAGACTCAGGACTTATGCATGTCCCAATCTTGAATGCAGGTTATACTTGTGGTGCCTTGCGTACTGTACTGTAGTCTTCATTAAAATGAAAGAATCAACTGGCCTATATATATATCCGACGTAGTTAGAATCCTATGAGGGCGAGTGATATGGACTACTAGTAGTACTTGCGAAACCTTTGCACAAGTTTTACATCTACCGCTATAATTAAAAGGTCCCAGTCCATCAACTCCAGATACTGAAAAGGTTTAGGACTTCTCTCAATAATACTGAAAAAAATAGTTATGACCCCACAGGAATATTATGACTTGAAGCTATTTGCTTAATTTTTTTAACTTGAACCTATATTCAGAAACCTCACTTATTGTTTCCAAATCACGCCGGACAATATGTGGCTGATCCTGAGGAACCCCTGGAATCGTATACAGTGTTGGACCGGTACTTGACACGCCACTTCATGCTTTAATATACTGCGCCCAACAACTCGAGTTTTTAATAGGATGAGTCTTCGGAACTATAATATAGTATCTTAAGTTGATTAGGATAAAGTATCTAAGAGAAATATGTACATTTGAATAAAGTAGATGAGGGCACATGTCGAAAAGTCCATTTGTCACGCAATACCAGTCCTTGACACAGGTGTGACACCTGCCGGCACACAACCTCCCCAGCCATGTTTTAAGTGTTCAACGAATTCTAACTTGCCTGATATGTTGTATGTATGGGGAATTGTTCGAAAGAAGTAGAAATGTGAATTAACAAGATGTAGGTGCGATTGAACTTCATACCTACCAGGTGCTGTCACGCAAAACCTTGCAAAACCCATGGAAAACCAAATTTTCATCCAAACTCGTCAAACCACTAATGAACCTTGTATATTTAGACATTATGCCTTTTGAATCCTGGTAAATGCCAAAGTAAGCTCATTTGTCACTGTTGCCACTGGGTAGTGTTGCCACGGCGCCGCACCGGCGTCACACCGCCCCAAAACCGTTTCACGCCGCGCCAATTGGAACGACATCGCTCCACACCGAATTTTCGGCCTGGCTTAAAAGCCGGCGTTAAGCTGCCACGCCGTTCTTGCGAACGGATATTACTGGCTTGGGCATTACACTTCAATAAAGAAGGAAAGGAGGGTAGAAAAAGCCTGGAAAATCTGTAAAAGATATATACAGTACATTGGAAATTAAATCGGGGCAGTTTCAACTATGTAGAATTGTCATTGCTTGCCATTCCGGTACTCTCAAAAAATGATCCAAACATGATATTTATAGTTTGCTTACATTAAATATTGGTTATGATACGTCCTTTATTGGATTTTCTCTGGATTTACTTTCAAACACGAAGGGATGCATGTTCTCCACCTATCTAATATGGTAATGCTTGATATTTCGGCGTCCATGATCGCACACGCCGCGCCGCGCCGACTCTCTAGGCTACTCCATTAATCCGCTGTCCAATGGCGCGCGCGGTGTGGTTTAAAATGGAGTGGCGCGCGGCGTAACTGACCCCGCGCCAAACCTACGGCAACACTACCGCTGGGCGCAAAACTTCATATTGGTCACAGGATGACCATTACACCTGTATACAACATCACCGAGCAACATCAACAGCACCAATTAATTCCAAAAATTCACACAAGTTGGATACCATATCAGACATGATCCAGTTAAAATATTGTCGAATTGATTTCACATTTACGGTCTTTTATCGAGAGTGTGCCAAGGACCGGTCCTGTGTCAAGGACTGGTCCAACATTGTATGTCGCCTTCTTAGCACCGAACACTGATCCTAATGAGGGAGGAGCCATAAGCTTTTCAATGCGAAATCATAAATGTGGGTTATGGCAGGCTAATGGCCGCACTTTGATGTGTGCGGTACGATTACGCTTTTGCTATACTTAGCTTTGACTTACCTTCCATTCCGCAAACCTACGCCCTAAATAATTCATTATCGCCCTGTTCATAGGACTGCATTTACTTCCCTTCTATCTTACACTTGTAGCACATCCACACGTGTTTCCCAGCCGTCTTATCAATATCATCCATTGGCAGCTCCTGTGTGACACTGCTTCCACCCATCCATCCCTGCAGAGAGCTTCGCCTTGTCAATGGTATCCTCAGAATCACGAAACGACAATGACAGAGCAATGATCAAGTCAAAGAAAGATTCTGAAGACAGTATCGCTACGTACTCGACAAGATCAAGCTCAACTTCCGAAGACAACCGGCGAGGACGGCAAATGGCAAGAGAGACCGCCTCTGAAAACCCATACTCGGCGGAGAACCTACGAAAGAGGCGAGCAAGTTGTGTCCGGGTCGGAATATGTTGCTGACTGGGAGCTAGAGGCTATCATATACTACTTCCCTCAAACGGAAAGCCATTTTATGTCGAGGATCGGTGGAGGATGGTGCGAGAGCTGGGTCAAGGAGCATATGGAACGGTCATGTGCGTAAACAGCCTCATCTATCCACGTTAGCTCTAGCTGATGATAGTGACAGTTCTGCAGAGGACAAGATCTCAGGAGAAACGATAGCTATCAAAATGGTCACCCGTATATTCGATAAGGTGCAGTTAGCGAAACGAGCTCTGCGCGAAATCACACTACTGCGACACTTTTCTACGGGAGGACACGAGAATATCACTGGATTGATAGATCTAGATGTTTTACATCGAGATTTCAGCGAAATGTGAGTTGTGATCACATCGTTAAAAAGTGGACCGGTCTGATCTTATGGATGGCTTGGTAGCTACTTGTTCATGCAGGTGCGAGTCTACGATACTCCTTTCTACCAGTATGCTTTATGGTTAACGTGCTACCCATAAAGCCTATGGAAGGTTCGTGATAATATAATGCCACATGCAGTACATGCTTATCTTATTACAGCCGATCTACACCAAATTATCCATTCTGAGCAGCATCTTACCAACGAACACATAGCATACTTCCTTTATCAAATCTTTCGGGGAATGAAGTACATTCATACCGCATCCGTTATTCATCGGGATCTCAAGCCAGGTCTGTAAATTGGTCGACGTTCATGAATTCAGCTTACATGGAACTGCCTATAGGCAACCTGCTGGTCAACTCTGATTGCGAGCTCAAGATCTGTGATTTCGGTTTAGCGAACACGTTTGAAGGTGTTTACCTATCGGTCACTTTGCCACTTAAATGCTGATTGTCATCTAGGTGTACACCAACTAACGCAATACGTGTATGTTTCAGGCGGTCATCAGAAGAACGCTTGCTGATGTGTCCTACAGCGCTACTCGATGGTACCGAGCCCCAGAGATCTTGCTTACTTTCCGAACATACGGAACAGCTAGTACGTTTGTCAATCCTCACTTTGAGGTGTCTTCTGCTTATCCATATCTTTTTAGTTGATGTTTGGTGAATATTGGTTAGCGCATGTGACCAAAACTCGTGTTAATTGTATTGTCAAGGTCGATAGGATGCATTCTCGCCGAATTACTATTAGGACAGCCACTTTTCAAAGGAAATGAGTATGTTATGATCACATCTTTATTTCATCTGCTGACCATTTCCACAGTTATGGTTTGTTTATCATCACTTTTTGGCATGCCACGATTCTCAATCGATAGTGTAGTTGACCAACTTAATCGCATTTTGGATGTCCTAGGGACACCGGGAGAAGAAGTCTTTGATAAGATTGCTTCTGACAAAGTAAAGATTGCCTTTTCCCTATCATTCGCTTATAATATGTACTAACATGAACTAGGCAAAGGCCTACTTACGCTCGTTGCCCATCCGGAAACCTCGATCATTCAAGAAGATCTTCCCTATGGCCGACGCTAATGGTAATTCTTTTCTTTTCTTTTTGTTTGAAGTGGCCGCATCTAAGTGCGCTTCTAGCAATTGATCTAATGGAAAAAATGATTACATGGAACCCAGATACACGCATCACTGTTA